GCTCCTCACTGCCTGCCTGCCAAGAGCATCAGATGTCTGTGCTTCGCAGGACATGCTGGCCCTCTATCCCCCTCTTCTCTCCAATTCCACATCCCAGTTAGCAGGTTCAAGCCCCCTTTGCTTATTTTCCCCTATTTTTTGGGGAGAAAGGGACATTGCATGGTCAGCCCCAGCCTCTCTCAGAGGCAGAAAGGTCCCTTCCTTGCCCAAAAAGAGGGGCCCAGCCATCCCAGCCCCAGGCCAAGGGCATCACTATAAAGGCCTTCAATGCACCCAATGTGACATGCTGGTGTTTGTCCCCAGCTCTGCCCTCTTCATTATCCAGCTCTCCACTGGCATCATCCAGACAGGACTTTTGAGACCTCAAGGAAAAGGCAGGATTTCCAGCCAGGTGAACTCTTCTCATCTGCAGAAGCCATAAACCCACAGCCCCATCATGAGACTTGGGATTTTCCAGCTCCCCAGCTAATGTCATAAATTGGCCGTATAACCTTATCTGCTCCAGCCTACGTCTTTCAGAGTGGATGGAGAACCAGTCCACCCCCCATGGGGTTCAAGCATCCCCCAAAAAGCCAAGGACCAACCCCAGTCAAACAACCAGCTGGGTGCATCATGCGGGAGGTAGCTGAAGAGTCACCCCAGGACCCTTTCCACGCAGCATAACCCAGAAAAACGCCCCGTGAGAAGGTGCTAGGCAGTGGGGAGGTTTATTCAACAGCTCTATAAAACAAGCTGAGACAATCCCTGTGCGCAGGCCCCTGCCTGGGGAGCAAAGCGCTGACTCAGGCATCCTATCGCGCCCCAGGGTGCCGCTGCTCAGCAAGAAAATGGCCTCCCTGGGCTTAAAAGTTAAGCCCTGCACTTCAAAGCATCCGCACACAACGCGCACTGGGGTGTCTCCAGCCACTTGAGCACATCTTGTACCCCGGAGGGTTCATTTGCAGTCCTGGCAAGGTACATCAGCCATGAAGTCAGCTGCTTTGGTGTTAAGCTCAGTTTAGCAAGCTAAACCGGCTCCCAGAGCTCAGACAGACCCTGGGGACAGCGCAGGGGCTACACAACTGGCCTGGGGAGGGACGAGATGGAAGAAGATCCTTCCAAGGGTGGCAAAGCTGCTAGGGCAGCCAGCCCTGTCCTCAAACCGCACTCTGAGCAGCAACACTGATGTCCATGGGGTAGGGCTTAGCCTTTGATTTAATCTCCCCATTTGATAGTGCTGGTACCAACAAAGCAGCATTAAATCCAGCCTGTAAATCCCAGTGCGGGCTGAAAACCTCAGTGCTGCTCCGCTGCCAGCCTCCTGACTGGCCGAGCAGCTTTCCCTTCGCAGGGTCCTTGCCCGGAGGACGGCCGTGCTGCTCCAAGTAGCCATGTGATGCTTTGGAAGCTCCTCTGCATTTTTCTGCTGCTCCAAGCCATCGTTGGGAGGCCAGCAGCTGAATGTGAATGTTTGCTTCTTGCTTAAGGGCTCTGTTGAATCCAAAATGGCCATGTGCCAGCTAGGGCAGATAGCTCCTAATTAGTGAGAAGGCTGGAAGGTCTTGGGTCTGCTCATCAAGGTGAGAGGTAACACCGAGTGGGGGCTGATGCTCCTGGCTCTGATGGCCCTTTGGGAGCCACCTTTGAGTGCAAACATGCCTGGCTTGAGACGAGAATACAGCGCTCTGAATTCTGAGTTTTGAAGATGGAATAACTTTTCTGGCTTCCAGCCTAAAAAAAGTCACAAGTGACAGTGAGAGACATTGACCCCCAAAGAAAACCCTTGTCTGCTGCAATGCAGAAAATTGATTCCAAGCCAAAAAAAAATCCTTGTAAGAGACCATGAGAGCAGGTTTGTCACCTCTCCAGTTCCTCAGCAGGGAGGGGTGAAAAGTCTGAGATTCTGGGTGATTTGTATCACTGGAGCCCCCTCGGCACATCCCTTCACAAAGAGGGTCCCTCATCCAGGTGTTCATGAGGCATCTAAGCAGCTTTGAAGAGCCTTGAAGAGCTTTTTCCTGGATGTTGCCCTTCCCTTCTACTCCTGACGAGGCTCAGCTCAGCGTGAGCTGTGCCATGGCTGTAGGCTCTTCTGTCCACGAGGTCCCCTTGGGTGGTGGCAGGGATGAGGTATCACACCGTGGTTTGATCTGGTGGTGCTGTGCTGGATCCCACCGGGGAAGGCAGCAGACCAAGAAGGGCACCTCTTGGATGCACCAGCAGCACTGGCAGATGGACCACGTGCCAGTGCTGTGTTATCCCCCAGCCCACTGGTCCCAGGCAAGGGAGAATAAATCTGGATTCTTCCTTATGAACAACAGAAGCTTTTGGAGCTGTTTGCCTGTTATTTTAAATGCAGTTTGTGTTTCCATTTAGCTCCACCCTGTCTTCTCTAGCAAATCATGAAATACCCAGCTCAGGACCAGGGTCACTGATGGCGAGACCACTCATCACAGTCCCCACTTCTGCCCAGGAGGGCTGTGGGTGCTTCTCCCACCCGTTTCCCAACGGTGGGCAGGCACCAGTGCAGCTCTGCACACCTTGGGGACCACAGGTCCCTACAGAGCAAGAGATGGTCCCACCACCACAGGCTCCTGCAGAGATTGCTGCTCAAACCACATTCCTGTCCTCAAGCACATGACGTACCATAGCCTCTGCCTCCAGGACTCCGAGGACATACCAGGAGAGAGACTAAAGTCCTTTTGAAGTCAGCAATCAGATATAAACAAGCTTGAGTTGGGTTAGAAATAAACTACCTTTAACTGTAGACCCTCTGCCTGACCTCATAGACCTTTGAACTTTCCCACTGGTAATGTGACAGGGAAAATTGCTGCGCTGTGCTTTAACAAAAATCCTGTCCTCTGTTTCCCTTTCACCTGAACACTCATCCTTCAGCTGGAAATTATTGCCTAAACTTAACAGGTTTGGTTTTCTTCCCTGCTTTGTTGTTCCTGGGTGGGACAGCAGTAGAAAGGGGCAGTGGTGGTCCCGGAGGAGAGGGGAAGATGATGGGTACGAAGGAAGCAAAGGGCTTGTACCAGCAGTGGGGGATGATGATGCTTCAGCACACGCTGTCCTGGTCCCTCAGGCATCCCCCTCGTGCCCTCCAGCCCAGGATGAAACATCACCAGCATCTCCCAAGTCAAACATGAGACTGGCTTCTCACCCCACTGTGCAAAACAGCTGAGCTGGCTTGTGGACAGGGGAGGGATGTAATGTGGGAACGCACATACGGCTTCAATTTGAAAAGCAGCTAAAAATAGCACCACGAAGCTCCCACGTTCGCTGGGTCTCTCCGGCAAGAAATCAATCTTTTCCGAAGAGTCCTGTAAAAGTTTTCCTCCTCTATTCCCACCTCGCTTTTTCAGGAAGCAACAGAGATGTAGTTAACTTCAACCACCATCAGTAGGTTTCAGAGTTAATCACTAGTACCTGAGGGCACGGCTCACCCCTCCCAGAACCACCGCTTTGGCTCCAGACCTGCATCTACCCCACGTGAGCCACAACGTGACTTGACAAAGGACAGAGTAATTTTTTTTTTTTTTTTTCCGCTTTACCGGATTTTTGGGGGCATGAGTCACCATAAAAAGCCCTGGCTTGTGGAGCTGCTGCGAGCTGGTCCCACTGCACTGCTGCCTGGCTGCTGGGAAAGCTGGCCCCACCAGCCAAGGCTCATCCTGCCAGAGCCTGAGGGAAAAAAATTGAGGTGGCCATGATATGGGAGAGCTTTTAAATGGGACCCTGCCCAGGTGCACTATTGCTCTAATTGCTCTGCTCCCTTAACGAGGAATAGGGCAGCTTCCCCTGCCAAGGGCTGCTCAAAGCAGGGGCTGTGCTGACCAGGGAGAAGAGAGGGGACACTACAAGTGAGATATTGTCTCTGCCCTACTCTTAGATCCCCATATGATTAAACCCAACATTTCTAGACTCCTGTCAGAAGCAAAAAAAAGGTCAGATCTTTTGAGGAGGGAAATGTAATGTATTACATTAAAATTTCATGTAAGCGAGGGGAGACCTCCGAAATCCTTGCCCTGCATCCCAAGCAGCGGCTGCAACCCTGCTCTGCCCACATTTCATCATTTTTGCAACCTGCCATGCTTTGCCTTGACGTTCATCGCTCACGGGATGAAACCAGTGGCAACTTTTCAGTGTGTTCTTGGGCTGCCCAAAGACGGGCTCAAAGCGCTGCCCACACAGGTACAACTCAACACCCAACTCAGCTTAGCAGATTTCAGAGCTCTGAATGCTTTGTTTTCCAACTGCAGTGATGGGATCCCCCACCAGTACCTCATGCATCCCTCTGCCTTCGGAGAAGCAGCTCTCTTCTCCCATGGGACCATAGTTTGGGATTCATGCTCTCCCCACATTCATTTTGACACCACCTCCCTGAAAGCAAGGGAGGAGAACCCAGGGTCCTGCTCCTTCCTCCCACCAACCTCCTCACTGATTTTTCCACCTCACCCTGACTGTTAAACACATTATTTCCCAGCGAGCCAAGGAATCGGTGTCCCTTGCCCCAGATTTCATTGCATTAAGGTCAATGTCCTGCTAGCTGCCATGACGCTTGGCCTTCCAGCCTCTGCCTCTGCTCCTTAAAAAGCCAAAGCAAAACCTATCAACTCTGAGCATCAAAACACATGGCTTTGGGGAACAAGGCTTTTACTGGGAGAGCATCTCATTGAGCAGGGTGGAGGCATTCACTTGATTTGGCACCCCGAGTGCAAGCCTGTCTTCATGCTCTGGCTGGTCTAGCTGTTTCTTAACGAAACGGGCTCTGACAATGCTATTTAATAAGGAGCTACTTTGCCTCCAGGGATGGGAGTGAGAAATACGGTGCCTCAACATGTGAAAGCCAAGTCCCGTTTGCTCTGAAACAATCTGCTGGCGAGCGAGGGAGGCTTACAGAAATGGGTTTGGCTCTTATGGAGCTTGGTGCTTGGGCTGCTCGACCCAGTCATCCCCATCCCACCCTGCCTGGGGGGTGCTTGGGGGCTTTAGTGAGGCTGGTGAGGTGCTCTGACCTGATGATGAAGGCTCCTCTGGTCTCCAGGAGTTTCCGTTCGCTGCTGAAGCGCTTAAGCAGGTTGATCATGAACTTGTAGAAGTAGGAGTTCATGGTGGGTGTGGAGGGCGAGCACTCCAAGCCTTTCATACCTGGGGAGGCAGGGGAAGAGGAAACAAAATCAGAGCAGTCGGGGCCCTTCTGCCAAAGCAGTCTCAATCAGAGAGCAGACATCCAAAATACCATCGTAGAACTTGGCAGAGGGCTGGGGCATGAAAAAAAGCTTTCGAAGCCGGTTTATACCACATCTGCTTGGTCCAAGCAGAGCCAGTTCTTCCACAGCTCTCTCCATCCCACAAGAAAGAGTCTTGTGATGGTCCCAGCCCTTGAAGCAGCACACAGGGGTGAAATGAGCTTTTTTGGGAGATCATCCCAGAGCCATTTGGCTTCAGTAGCTGATAGAAGAAGGGGTGCCTGAAGCTCTAGATCAATAGGTGATCCTGTCTCCTCGGATACAGTGTACACTCATTCCAAAACCCAGACTGCTGGTGAACTGAAGAGCCTTTAATCCAGCCCCACATGCCACAGATGCCCCGAGCCCAGCACACAGGCACGTAGTGGCAGACACACACGTTCAGCCTCGAGGCATGGCATGGCCACCAGCTTACGCTCGGGGACGTGATTTTCCCTGAGCAGGAGTTACTTGGTGCAACGTTGTCACACACAGCATGCCCCAGGGCCAGTATGAAGTACTGGTCGAACCACAGCAGAGCTCCAGCCCAGAGACTGTACCAAAAAATGGGATTTTTCTTTGTTCTCTTTTTTGCAAAAACCCTTTATAAAAAACCAAGCTGAAGGTTAGGGAAGGGAGCCTGGCACAAAGGAGCAGTGGTCTCTCCAGCATGGAGCATCCCTGCTCCTGGAGCACCTGCTGGGTTGGGGCACAAACCCACTTGCTGCTTCTGCAGCAGCTGTGGTTTTTGCCCAGAAGGCAAACAAGGCTTCATTTTGATGCAGCAGCTATCACAGATCACACTTACAAGTCTCAAAGGCAGAAAATTATGGGTAATGAGAGTGGCCAGACTCTCTGAGCAAGGAGGCTGCAGGAAGTGCCCTGGCTGGAGGGAAGGGTGAGTGTGTGAAAGCAGAGAGAGGAGAGATAGCAAGGAGAGATTGTGTGCTCAGGAGAGCCTAGATGTGCTCTCACACACCCAGACCCAATGCACTTCCAGGATGCAAGACTCTTCCGTGCTTTCTCCTTAGGCACTTCGCCTGGAGGATCTCCAGCAGTAGAGGGAAGGGATGCTCTGCATCCTCCTGTCACGCAGTGTACCTGGAGCTGGCAAGCCTCTGCTCCCAGCCTCTGCCAAGTGGTCAGCAGCCCCCTGCGCACCTCCCAGGGCCATAAACTTACTCTTGATGGGCCCCTATTACTTGTTTAAAAGCAAATGGTGCTCCTGGTTGTAAGGTGAATGGGCTGCTGCCGTGGCATTCACTTGTTAAGACATCCTAACTTTGTCTGAGACTATCTGCAGAGTGGGTAGACAGAGAGGCTGGCAAAGGGGCATCTCCCAGCTCAGGGTACGCAGAGAACATTAGAAAAAATACCCCTTCAATCCCACAAGTGCAGGGAGCTGGCAGGTAAAGATTGCTTTTCCCACAGCAAAACTGCAGTGGAGATGGTTTATTTAGCAGGACGACGTTCACGCTTAGAGAGAGGGTTTTAAAAGCAACTTTGCAACAAGGGGAGCTCTCTCCCTTATTTTCTTCTAAGGAAAGACCATGTCTAACCACGGTAAGGAGGGAAGCTGACACACACGAGTGCCCCAGGGTAATTCCCCCCATCCTGAGAACAGCCACTATTTCCATCAGATTGCTGAAGGAAACCTGAAGAGTTTGATTTATGTATGTTTTCTGCTTCTACCGAGACTCAGCAGAGCATGGAGCAGCCAATTAAAGATGCAATCAAGCCGCCAAAGCCCAGGAAAGCTGATGGAAAAGCCACAGGGCTGTTTTCCACCCTGCCTGTCCTAGTGATACCGGGCAGCTTCCCCAGGTTTGGATTTAACATCCAAGAGAACAGACACAGCCAAAGGAAAAAGGAAAATTAAATATGAGGTCATCTGCACCAGAACCTGGTGTCTCCTCCCCGCTGGAGTCGCGTGCTCACCCCGCCTTGGTACACCCGAAACCTCAAACCAGGCTTTAAAGCAGGCATCTCCCAGAGCACAAGTGTTCGCTGTAGCATCATGTTTCCCCTCAGCTGTGGGGAAGATGATCTGGGCAAAAAAAATAGGATCTAGCTGAGCCGATGCACTTGAAAACAAAGGTGCATTTGTTCTAAGGCAGGGAGTAGCTGGTGTGAAAATACAGCCGTGCCCCACGTGTCATCACTACAGCTGCTCAGCACCACTCAAAAGCAGGTTGAGCAGAGGCACAGTCCAGACATGGAGCAGCTCTGCTTTCCCACCGTGCCTGCCTGCGGCTCAGCCTCGCAACTCCCAGCCTGTACCACAGGCAGAGCCTCAAAAGCAAGCACTGGTTTTCTTTCTGGTACCAAGGGTGGATGAAGAGCAGATGAAAACTGTCTTTCAAAGCTGCAAAAGTGGTATTTTTTGTCTGTTTTGTCAGCAGTGCCAAAGCACCCAAATCGGAGCTGCGTTGCAAACCCAAGAGCAAGCAGCAGGCAGGATATCACCCCTTCATCCCCATCAGCTAGTAACGCCCCAACATTGTCACTTGTCTAGGGGAAGGTCTGATCTTGAAGTTTCTCCCCTCTTAAGGCCCCCAAAATCGTCTCTCTGACCCCTCACAGCATCAAGGACAGCACTGTTGCCAGGGCTGGTCTTCCTCGGCAGCAGCACAGGCAGCAGCTCCTGCCCAGAGCTCCAGCGTTGTGCCTTACCGCTGCCTTGCACGCCTTCCAGGGACAGCCCAAACCCTTACATATCCTAAAACACATCCCCAGGAAAAAACAGGAGGATGCAGCATCTTTCTGACTCCCTGAAAGACCCAGTGCTCCTGTTGCTGGGGTGCTAGCAGCACCGTGCCCAGGGGATGAGTCTCTTTACCCAAGTAACCAGCACCAGGACAAGAGGGAATGGCCTCAAGCTGCGCCAGGGCAGGGTCAGGCTGGCTCTTGGGAAGTATTTCTGTGCAGAAGGGGTTGTTGGGCGTTGGAATGGGCTGCCCAGGGCAGGGGGGGAGTCCCCATCCCTGGAGGGGTTGAAGAGTCGGGCTGACCCAGCACTGAGAGATCTGGTGGAGTTGGGAACGGTCAGGGTGAGGTTCATGGTTGGACTGGAGGAGCTTCAAAGTCTTTTTCAACCGAGGTGATTCTGTGATCCTGTGACAAAGCCCAGGAGCTGTGTGGCTGGGAATGCCGGTGCAAGACAGACCAGCCAGAAGCACTCTCAGATCTGTGCTCCCGAGGTGGTGCAGCACCTCCCGCATCTCAGCCTGGAGACTTGTAAGGACCTGCTGCGTTAGCTGAGAATCCAAAAGCCAGAATCGCCTCGGAGATCAGGTCCTGGCTGCAATCTGCAGGACAATCAACCATCAGTCTTCAGTCCTGCCACCTTCTTCCACAGACTCGCTCCTGAACTTCCAGCCTCCTGCCCAGTCTGCAGAAAGCCGGACAGTGGATCATGGAGCTGGGAGCAAGGAGGGACCAGGACTCAGAGACATCGAAAACAAGTCTTAGCCCTGTTTTTTTTTTTAGGAGAAGAAAGTGTGATGTGATGGTCTGCATAACCCAGGGAAATTCTTCATCATCCTTTGCCTCTTGGAGCATTGAGACCAAACTCAAAAGGGATCATTTCTCCATCCCTTGTCTGTCTGGCACCCAGCAGCTAAGTCTATGTGTCCTTAAGGATGGTTTCCACCATGCTGTGCCTGCCGGAGCAGTCTTGCCAGTGCTCTCCAGGGGTAACGCTGAGGGTGAGAAATCAGCGTGGAGGGGTCTCCCAGGCTGCAAAAGGCTCAATCAAATCTCAGCTGGAATTTAAAAGACCAATACTTCTTCCAAGCAAGCAAAAAATTTCTCTTGCAAATCCTCCCAATCCTCCAAACGTCCTATTTTCTCTGTGTTTGCAGGATGTCTAGGAAGCGGCTAGCACCTTGTTTGCCATCATGCAGCCCTTCCCAGCGTAGCCCAGAGCTCAGCTCGCCGCCCCATGGGTTACAGCTCAGCACAGCAGCATCCCTGGCTCAACAGAACCGTAGGAGCAGCTTGTCAAGTGTTTCTACGAAGCACGAGAGACAAGCAGAGAGAAGTGTTATGAAAACTGTGGCTTAATTAATTGAAGCTTGCACCTCTCCCCCTTTCCCCAAAGCGAGACTTTGCAGATTCGTAACCTGCCAGATAGGCTGTTAACGCACCCGGCGCAGGGCTGGTGGCACGTCACGGCTCTGCTGCCTTTTTTTTAAACTGGCATGGGGGAAGGAGCTGGAATAAAGATCCTTGCTCAGAGGAATGATGAAACTCAGCCTAGATATCAGCTATAATAGGAACAAATGGGAATTTTGGGCTCACGGGAACATCAGAGCGTTGAAACAAGAGCCAGTAGAAACAGCCTGCAAAAGGCATGTGAAAATTGCAGCTCCATGGCAGAAACAAGTCCGCACCATCCATCCGGCCTGGACCCCTCACAATGACTACAGCAACCTCGTGCATCCCAGGATGTCAGTCTAACAAAGCTCTTCCCAAGGATTGCAGCCCAGTGTAGGACCAGGGACAGGAGTGGGCTTCTTGGATCATCTAAGCCAGCACCAGCATCTCTCCCCCTCTCCATGGGTTCTAGCTCAAGCTGCACATGGCAAACGCCTGCTGAAAGCCCCAGTCACCCCCAAGTGCTCACCGGCGGTTCATGCTGTTCCCATCACTCGCGTGGCCACACCATAAATCAGCCCAGACAGGCAATTAGGGATCTATATTAAAGCCCTTATAAATATATATTGCATAGCAGCCTGGAACATTTGGGCCATCTGGCTGCTTGATGGGCTGAGCCGTCTCGAGACCTACAGTACCCAAGGTGTCCCCAAATTGCTCCGGGGGGGCCTGGCAGACTCTGACAAGAACTTGGCTTTTCTACCTCGGCCACAAAGTGCCGAACTTCACCCTGCCATAAAACGCAACTTCCACTAATTTACT